TTTGCATGTTGGGTCCTTCTTGTTGAATTCTGCAATCAACTTCAACACTCTCGTCAGGGAAGGACGTTTTGGTCAAATCAAATTTCACCTTTACTTTTAACTGTCTTTATTTTCACAATAAACTACCTTTTGGTTGTATATCACAATTAACAACAATTTTAACAAAAACTTTTAACACTTAGAGTTGGATGAGGCAGTAAATTGAGGAAACCGAACTAAATTAGAAGAGATGAGTGGCATGGACATAGACGTCCACTCAACGATTACATTGCAATAATTATCAATTTGACCCTTTTATTCTAACTTCCGGCTCTCACTAACAAAAGGATTACGCGCAATATTTAAATAATTATACCTAATTGGCTATTGCACCTGAGCCATTGTAGGGGTGATTATGCATTTCCCAATCTACCATTACGCAACCAGTATTACACATAACTGTACATATGGTTGAGTTTATTTACAATACATACTAATGTTTTGGATGGTTCCAGAACATACTGCCCCGCGTTGAATCAGATTCAATACAAAGAAAGAGAACAGCAAATGAACAATAATTATTAACTTTTAAATTTTATTTTAAATGGGATTTAATTAGAGATTAGCATCATGCCTTGGTAATGGACACAACTTCGTTATATTTCTTGTGTAAACACCGTTTTTTGTTTTAATTTTTACAACTCTAATTTTATCATCCTTGCCTGGTATCACTTCAATAACTCTAGCCAAAGGCCACTCAAGAGGTCTTGTATTATCTTCCTTTTAATGTCATGTTCCTTTATATCATCAACAGAGCAAAGCCATTTCGGTTGATTTTGTAATAAATTGAGGTAGTTTGTGGTCCATTTTTTCCAGAATAATTGCTGTACTTTTACGCACCGTTGCCACCGAGTTAATCTATTTTCTTTACGATCAAAAATGTCTTGTTCAGGATAAGACGTTGAACTATCACCAATTAAAAAATGGCCAGGAATAAGTACGGATAATTCAGAAGGGTCTGAAGAAAGGGGCGTTAAAGGTCGTGAGTTCAGAATAGCTTCGATTTGTGAAAGAATTGTGCGTAATTCCTCAAATGTAAAATGGGATTTACCAACAATACGACGAAGGTGATATTTAGTGCTCTTTATGGCTGCCTCCCATAGACCGCCCCAATGTGGGCTTAGGGGTGGAATAAATGTCCAGCGAATTTCTTAAAGAGTGAGAAAATTCCGAATGTTTTAAAAATTCTTGGGGTTTTAAAAAATTTACATAATTCGCAGCTGATTACTAGCGCCCAAGAAATTTGTAGCATTGTCACTATAAATTGTATTAGGACAGCCTCTACGAGCTATAAATCTTTTTAAACATAAAAGAAATGCCTCAGTATTTAAGTCAGAAACAGATTCTATATGGACCGCCTTTGTTACCATACATACAAACATTGAAATAAAACATTTTAGTAGGGGAGCCTTTCGTAAGTTAGATGCCTTTATAAAAAATGGACCGCCAAAATCTAACCCAGTTTGTGAAAATGGTCTTGACGGTTTCACTTTGACTTGAGGAAGATCTGCCATGATCTGTTGAAAAGAGTTAACCTTAAATTTATGACAAGTAAAACAATTTCTGGTAATTTTCTTTATTTCTTTTAATCCACCTAGTGGCCAAAATCAGAGACGAATGTTTGAGAGTACAGTTTGAGGCCTGCATGCCCTAATCTGATGTGTTCATTTTTTAGCATTAAACCAACAATCTCATTTTTAGAGAGTAGTAACAAGGGATACCTTTGATTGAAGCCTAAATTCAAAAATGAAAGACGCCCACCTACTCTAAGTAATCCAAACACATCAATGAAGGGCTTTAACTGAAGAATTGCTTTATTGGAAATTACTTTTTGAGATTTCAATTCTGATAATTCTTTGGAAAGGCATATTTCCTGAATAATTTTTACAATGAACTGTAGAGAATTTGCAAATTCTTCAGAGGTGAGGAAACCTGTTAATTTCTCAGAGCTTGGCTTAATATTGTGTACAAATCTAAGACAAAATGCAATCGTTCTTTGCAACTGAACAAATGATGAGAATTTTAAGAATGTAGAATACCAATGATGTTCAATTAACCCATGAAGTACCATTTTCGTTTTCCTTCTTTCTGGAATTTCGTCACTGTTTAAGTGAGAACTAACATTTACAAATTCACCTTTAGAGTTGTGTAGAAATTCAGGACCCTTGATATAGTGCCAAGTGCATTTGTCAGTGAGTTGTTGGATTTCAGCAACTCGATTTCCGACAAAGGTTGACTATCGTAATCCATGTTAATTAATCCATGCTAATGTAATTTGCGAGTCAGTCCAAAGATTTATGCTTGCAAATGAGAATTTATTTTCAAAAATTTGTAAAATTCTTTGCATTATTCTTGATACTAAGAGGGCTCTACAGAGTTCCAATCTAGGGAGGGTTGTTGACCTTAGAGGAGCAACACGACTTTTGAAGGCTATCAGATTACATGAAACTGTTTGATCATAATAAATAGTCCTAATATAAATACAAGCGCCATATGCCTTAATTCTTGCATCCGAGAAGCCATGAAGTTCAATTTGAGAAAACAAGTAAAACATATCAACATAAATTGAATTTCTATTAATACGGCACACATTAAATCCTATAACGAACCATGCAATTTAATTAAAAATCCACATGGTCTGGTGTAGGATTCAAAGCTCCTCATTTGAAAGCTAATTTAATAACTAATTCAATACACCACAAAACAAATATATAAATATTTCCATATTGCACTTTCAACAAAATAAAGTTAGCAATAATGTTTAAAATAATTTTCAAACTATTGCAAGTGCAATATGGAGGATATTTATATTAATGTTATGTGATGCATTAAATTAGAAATTAAATTTGCTTTCAAATAAGGTATCACACTTTATAATTCATACAGTTTTTCTCCCGATAGAAGGCGGTACATTTAAAAGTATTGCAAACAACAGTCATATTTCGGAATTTCTCATAAAATTACCTTTTAAGTAATCTACTACACATGGTAGTGCCGCACTGTATAATAGTTTTTTATCCCGCTAGAGAGTGGAAAAATTTAAGTAACGCATTATACAGACATTTTTGAATCCCCTATTATATTACCATTTTAATAATGTGCCATACATGGTACATTACCTATTTAAAAGTAAGGTGATGAAGAAGTGCATGGGAGGATGTTGGCACATGACAGCTGTCTGTATTGTAAAAAAGTGTTTAAGTTGGAATAAAAACCGACCTCTTTTGGCATTTGCTTAAAATCCAATGATTAATACCGAAAAAAGAAAGAAACTGTTTTAAGTTATCCACTTTGTATATCAAAAATGGCTAGATTTATCGAATTAGCTCATAAAACAAAATCTGCTTAAAAATGCTTCTTTACAAGATGCGCTACACAAAAAGATCATCCCATCGAAACAAAAATATTGAGCGCAGCGCCATTTACATATTAACATATTTAAAATCAATTTATATCTAAAACTGAAGCTATCTTAGTGTTTTGTGAACTGGCTTTTACAGAATTAAAATATCTCTGTTTCTTAACAAAATATCTGGCCAGGGAGTTTTTATTGGTACACCACCCTGTATAAGTTTGGATATTTCCAAATAAATTTTTTAAGATTCACCCAACCCAAATTTTGAAAATTATTTTTGAAACCCCAAAGTTAAGATACATTTATTAAAAAATAAAAAAAAGAGGAATTCTATCAATTATTTATCATGAACAGAAAAATTAGTTAAAAAATGCACCTTACTGTATTGATGAGTAAATAACCGATTTTCATATAATAATTATTTATTTTTAAATATAACAATACAAATAGTAGCTTTTGGGACGTCCCGTACACATACTCCGTGGGACGAGAAAATTGGATTCATCCTCTGTTCTATGTGCAACGGTAATTATTAGTAGTGGCCTCTGGTGGCACATCTTGCACTAGCTGGGATTTTCGCAGACACGACGACTAAACGGCATTTTTTTATTCTGCTAATCAAAACTACCAACACTAAAATTACACGGAATGAGACAAGGGATGTATTCAACTTTGTTAGTTGGACCGTAAGGGGTTAAGCTAAAACTTGCTTTTTTCGATTCAAGAAGATTTTATATTCTTGTTCTATTTTTTAGTTTTTTTTTAGGTTATTTCAGTTAATTCCGTTTATTATAACAATTTTAAATAGTTACCCATGATGATGATAACAAAACATTTTATAATTATAAGTAATTAAACTAATTTAAGAGTGTAGTATTAAATGGAAAGCAATTTAAACTTATCTTATTTATAGTAGAAAACTTTTGTAATCCTTGCAACCATCCAGGACATTGGAAGTTATAACAGCTTCTTTTTCATGCTTTTTTTACCATTATTTCTACAGTTTTAATATATCTAAATGGTATATTTAATTCCTATGTTACGTGACTAAGGTTTCGATCAATCGAGTTTACTGAATTTTGTTATTAATCAGTGACAATTCCACAGTGTTGTATTATCGCTGTAGCACAGGGATTACCATAATTACGGAAGAAACTTTTTCCAAATATCTGTCAATTGTACATTTTTCACCTTTTTTCTTTGATCCTACCAGTTATAAAAAAAATTATAAATGATAATGCCTCAGGTGTGGTAGTAGTGCCCTTTTGGATTAACAACACTTGGTGGCCCCTATTCACGAGTATTTTTATCAACAGATCTTATCCATGTCCTTTGTCAAGAAACCTTCCCTGTTGGCAGGATTTTATCTAACGGGGATTTATCCTAAAGCGCCTGAACTACAACATTAATGAAACTTTGGTGAAAGTTTTGTATGTTTAAGAAAATAGACCCCTTTACAGTTGATATCTTTACTGTCTTTAAATTTCTGCAAGGATGATTCCAAGAGATTCAACATACGGATCATTAAATAACTATAGACTTTCTTTGATTTTCTGAGCAGACATTGCTATGGACTTAAGCTGGACCCTTTAGCAGTACTGAATACCTTTAGAGATTGGTGTTCCAATAATGAATTCCCTGTTATATAATTTTTAGCAAATTTAAAGGCATTATTAGTATTTTTCTGCGCATTTAATGTAAACTTTTGAGTTTATAGTGTCACGTTAAGTGGTTTGTTGGGCAAACCAATTAATAGTGGGGTACGCCACTGCGTATTTCGGATCGCCCAAACGATCTTCCAGTCGAGGAAGATCTTTGTGCCACCAGAAAATACTCACAGAAGAACCTTTCTTATGATTTATTATGCTTGGCTCTACGCTACCGGGGAAGGAATAAAAGTCACGGCATAAAAAACTACAAATCTTTAATAAACACAAACTAAAATCCCCTGAACTACCCAGAAATCCCCAATATTATAATACACACCAAATATACAATATAAACACTACAGAGAATTCAAAGAACCAACTGGTTACTTTTCTTAGAAATACCTTTTAAGATTTTATTTTATTTTTTATTAAATTTGTAAAATAATCTTACTACATGTTTTAACAGGAAACTTGAATGTTACGACTCTTTTTTAATTTTATTTTGATGACTGTAATACAGCAGAGAGGTACTGTCTCTTTGCCCAGAGTTTTACCTACTCCCGATTTATGTCACAGCCGAAGAAATTATAGCCTCGGTTGTGCCAAAAATGTTATTATTTTTTGTTTTGTCAATTTGGCTAGCTGACCCCAACATTGTTTTGAAATTGTAGAATCAGCATAACCGAATTGAGTACTTTGTTTAATTTCAACATAAAATAAAGTTTTTATTTACTAGACAATAAGATTGTTATTGTTTTAAATAACTTTAAATGTAATATTAAACACAAATTGGAATTGAATCGAAATTAAAAAGATTGAAATAAAATTATATTTTTGAAAATGGCTTTAATAAAATTTGAGTTGAAATATATTTTTGGAAAGTACTTTATTTTATCTTTAATAAAAATCTAATTATTTTTAAATGCAATTCGTGACAATAGACTAGCCGGTAATGACAGCTTTTGTGTAACGTTTTTTAATGTGTGCATCTTTTAATGTATGCATCTTTTAAGTTATGTTTAATATAGGTTTTTAACATGTTCTAGCCAATTATCTAAGAGTGCTTGTATGCTGCGGCTTCACCAAGAAAATTTGAATTTGTATTGAAAATAGATAATTCTAAACGATTAGTAAATGTATGCAAATCGGTAATTGTTAAAATTTAAAAAATATACTGCGGAAATTAATTTTCATACGCCTCCTTCGTGTACTACGTCCCAAAATTGTTAATTGAACAAGTATAAAAGAAGAACAATTTTTTAACGTTTACTTTTTTACAGCATTATTTTTATTGTTAAATATACCGCGAAAAACTACTTTGCATACAATGGCGGCGTGCACATATGTTGCGGTAATTTTTAAACATACCCTTTTTTTGTTATTCCTCGAAACAAATAATTAACAATTAAGAACGGATTTAATATAAAGTTTATATGGTACATTTTCAATATAAACATTTGCATACAGTTTTGTCGTGGTAGCACTATTTCAGAAACAATTTAAATGTTGAGAAAATTGCAGCCATTTTCAAACAATTATTTAACGTATGACTTTTCACAGTATTATTTTTGTTAAATCGACTGTGGAAATCTACTTTGCATACACTTGCGTTGCGGTCATTTTTTAAACATGTACTTTTTTTGTAAATATTTAATTTATTCAATTGAACTATGTGAAAGTATTAGGTAAATATGCACGAAAAAAAAAACTTGCATACATTTCGAAAGTGAATAAGATATTTGTATACGCTAAAAAAGGCTAATTATAGCTTATAAAACCCCTTTAATTCATTATTTGCTCAGACCCTAAGAAACGGGTTGATAGAGACATTTTTCATGCTCACAATACACAAGTTCAGCAACGTTAAATAAAGGACTGAACTTAAATATTATAAGGTCCACAGCAAATTGGTCAAATTCTGGAATTTTCTTCATTTCATGTTCTATTTTTGTCGTCATTACCTGCGATATAACTTTCTCTGCTTATCTCTTTTTGGCAAGAAAAAGCATTTAATTATAATTAAACTAGTTTTTTCGTATTTTATAGAAATTTCAAAAGGATCCACATAATCACTTTCTGTAAATTATTGATCTTTATGGGATTTACCGCAGATGTGTTTTTTCCATGGATCCAGAATTCGTAATATAATACATTTTTAAAACGCGACACTTAAATAGATATAATTACCTACTTTATAGATTTTTATGTTAGTCAAACACATTATATTTGCTTAAATATTTACAAAAAACTTCTTTTCTGGCTTTTGTCTCAGCTTTTATAAAATTACAAAATACAAAAATGGGTCATTCTCAAAAATGACTGAACAAAAGTGAATAATTTGAGTTTTTTTGACATATGAATAATTATTAGCTCTATTAGGTGTTTTTGAAACCCTAATAGTGTGCGTGCTTAATTTTTAAATTTTTCGGTAATAAACATAATTTTTAACCACAATATGATAACGGGCGATAGTAATATTAGCGGAGTGTACTTTTACAAATTTTTATTTTAAAAACATGCCTCGTGTCAACACAGAAACAAGCTTATTGTAAATTAAAAAACAGTCTTAAAACAATATCTTTCCTGTCGGCAAAGGAAATATCGTCTTTGTATGGAAAACAAATCTTATATCTTTATTTATTTTTTCTTTTCTTCTCATGAATCCTATTTTCATTTCATTATTCATCTTATCAATATTTATAACTTAAACTATATAATGAACTTCTCTGTCTTGTCTCAAAAATTAAACAATATAGAAGCTATTCTCTTCAAATTCCATTATTTGATAGTTTAGTGGAATGTTTTCTATATTTTCTTCGTCACTACTAGAACCGTAAAGATCACCTTTTCCCATTTTATCTGCTTTCAATCTATTATGATTGTCTGAGTTCATATTTTAGTCCATATTCGAATAGATCATCAATTTCTCTTCCAATTCAATATGACCAAGGTAATAATGAGAGCATTTTATATTTGTGAAAGAACGACATTCTATTCTGGATGGATCTGATGTAATCGTGTAATCATGTATTTTTAAGGTGCCTTTGAACATTTTCAACCCTGCTTAAAGAAGTAAAGTATCAGAATGAATAATGTCAACGTCGTTTATTATTATGATTTAAAATAATGTCATGTATTTTCTAAGAGTTTCATCCAATACAATAAAATCTTACACATCCTGTCCAAGAGCTACAATTTTGTCAGCTGTGCGCTTAACAACACTACCAATTCTATCTGGAGCACACTTTCCGTGACCACTTTCACTGAGGTGCCAACTCAAAGAACTCATTATAAGAATTTTCGCTACGAAGTTGCTAATTAAGTAGACCATCTTTTTATTTTTATATTGATTTTTTGGCCCGTTGCTGAGACACTGAACTTTTCTCAGATTCATGACCTTTTCCTTCAGAAGCTTAAAAATTGGTATCAAATTGGCACATATTGCTGCAGGATCGTATCTCAGATTCTTAGACAAACTACAGCAGCTTACATGTTTAACTGAATTTATAAATGGACACCGATAATAGAATACAACCGTATGTAGAGAAATTTGCAGCCTTGTTAAGCCAAAATGAGCCGACTGTACTTCAGCTGCGTATTTGCATCCGTATTTCGTTGAAAAGTCCATAAGAACTAAAGCATCATGAAAATAAATATTTTTTTATCTCATCGATAGCTTTGTATTGATGATTTGTGTTCAGTACATGTTGCATAAACTTCGAGAGATTAGTTTTAAAATTACAAAGTAACTCTACTGCCGTAATTTGTATTTCATCAATAATTGTTTTTTTTTGCATTCTCGTTCCTCGTCCTTGATAACAACTTTTACTGTTTTTGAGTTCCATTGTTTATAAATTATAGGCTTTTCGGTTTAAAAATATTCAACTTCAACATCCAATTCCTTGCACTTCATACATTTTCTGGCCAAACATTTTTCTTGCAATGCATTGTTGCAACACAAGCTTTAATGATCTGGAAAGCAACAATTAATTTTTTTCAGTTGCCGGAGTTTTATAGTCATGAATGATATGTTTTCATGAAGTTCACACAAGAACGTTTCTCTCGATCTTGCGTTTAAATCAAAACCCAGAAGGGTCTATTCTTACAAAAAGTTGCGTAGTTCAAATTTTTGTATACGGGATGCGATGTTTACAAATTTCTTGTGGTAATTGTCCAATGAATCGTTCAATAGCCTCTTTGTTTCTTAGACTTTTTAAGAGTTACAGTGCCTTTTTTTCATGGCAATAATCTGCTTTATTTGTCGAAGAAATATCTTATAGACTTCTTTCGTCTTAACAATTTTTATTTGAATATAGTTATTTTTTTCCAAGTTGTCTTTTTGATGGTCATATGCCTGTTTAAATTATCTATTTTATTGTCAAATTTTCGGTTCTTAGCTCTAGGTAGTTTCTACAGAATTGCCACATTTCTTTTTATGTTTTTTACTTCTTTCTTCAGGTTTTCTCTATTTCTTCTTGCTCTCCGTCTTCCTGATTCTTGCTCTCTGCTGGTTTTTGGAGTAACTGCAGCATCTCCAGCTTGTTCTCTTAAGGTTAATTTTGGCCGTGGACATGGCGATAATGATGTTTCTTCTAGATATCTGTAAATTCTCTTAGATTCGCTATACTGATCTCTATTGGATTTTGCATTTTCTCTCCATTTTTTCTTAGGGCCAGGTGTTCCCTCTCACTCATATCTTTAATATTTAGAGGACATGTGCCATATATGGAATATGTTCCTTATATGGAATACCCTAAAATTTAATAAACCAAGAGCGGCAACACCGCCACAACACACCAATACCATGTTAAGCCAAGACGAGAGTGCTGGCAGTCGTTTATGAACCGTTTAACGTAACTGTTGTTATTTCGCAGTGCAATCGGTTTTTACGCGGCATCGTAAATTATTTAAGGTATGTATTCGAAATTTTTATATACACAGTTAGAATAAACACAGTAATATCTCATTCTGTCTTGTATGTTTATATAACTTTAGCTTAGGTTTCTTATATTGAAATCTAAGATTAGCGTGTTACCACGTAACTTTGGTAAACGAAAAGAAAAATGGCCGGGTGTACCTTATATGGAATAGCACGCTGTTTCTATGTTAGAATATTCCATATTAGGAACACTTCGCTTTTTTTTATAGAATTTCATGAGAAAACTGCAAAAGCTTTCTGTTAAAATAATCCAAATATTAATTCCTTTCTTTACAGAAAAATATCATGGGTCGTAAAGAATGGAGGAAACAAGACATGGTTTGTGCAATCGAAGCTGTGCGGAGTCGCGAGATGGGGTACAAAAAAGCCGCAGATACACTTAATGTTCCACGCACGATATTATTCCGTCTTTCAACTAAGTCAAATGCAACACCAGCCCAGGCTGTTGAAACAAAATTAGGAAGATCCGCGGTCTTACCACAAAAGTTAGAAGATCAGTTGGTAGAGTATCTGCTTTTATTGGAAAAAAAAAATTATGGATTAACACGAAGTGATGTTAAAAGGATGGCATATCAGCTGGCTACCTTAAATAGATTACCAAACCCATTTTCCAAAAATAATGAAAGCGCTGGAAGAAAATGGTTGAATTTTTTGGACCCGAAAATATTTCACCAGTGCCACTTTTAAAGAAAAGAAAGGGCCTCGAAGAGGAAGGGCACCTGGAAAGGCAGCAATTATAACCTCATCTCCATATAAAGTTGAGTTGGAAACTTCAAATAATGCAGTCTCTTCAAAAGAAGCTAAAACAGTGAAGCGTAAAGTGTTAGCGGAATTATCAGTTGACTTAAATCGACCATCCTGTAGTAACATCCATTTGCGCAAAACCAGTGCTTTAAAGAAGAGGACATTGGATCAGACAAACCACAGAAAGATGACGCTACTTGTTTCTATTGCAATGGAAAGTTTTTAGATGATAGAAAAGGGGAGAAGTGGATAGAATGCGTTGTCTGCAAAGAGTGGTGCCATATCGATTGTTCGGGATGTAAAACTGAAATTTTCATTTGTGAATTTTGTAAAGAACATTAGTTTGTTTTGCCAATATGCATTTCATTAAAAAATACATTACCTTTATTTTATTTTTTATAGGTAGGTTTACTTTTACTTGTTCAAGGTCTAAACTAAATTAAACTTCGTTTCTTAAAGGAATTCATATATGTTTAATAAAGTTAAAAAATGTTTTGAAATTTATATTGTTTTATTCTTACCCTATTCCATTTTATGTACATATTCGACATTAGGTACAAAATTCCCCTTTTTCAAAGATTATTTTTTGAGGATGCCGATATACAAATTTTCTCATTTTTAATATCAAAACCCGATAAATAAAATACTAATGTATGTTTATGAATAAAAGTAAAAACTTCTTTAAAAAAAAACAAAAAATACAAGGCAAAAACAAAATGGTATTCCATATTTGGTACTTCTCCTCTACTATCTTTACAGATTACAACCTTCTCTTCCTTCGCTCTCTTTCTTTCTTCTTTTCTTCTTCTTCTTCTTCTTCTTCTTCTTCTTTTACAGAATCGTTCTTAGTCCTTTTATATTTAGTTTCGCCTGCACTCTCCGTTTATTAATCGCTGTTCCTTAGTCTTATATTTTTAAGAAGCCATTTTATTCATATAGAAAAAATTACATTAAATTATTATTTAATAGTGTTAATAATTTCTAATAACGAATAATATAGTGGCCTCCGTTATCATATATCTACTCCGTGATGATCACAATTTGATAACGGAGAAGTTATCACGGAGAGGACGACCTGGTAGTTTTTGTAATGTTACTGTAGACGTCATAGAGTAAAAGAAATTCACAATTTGTATGTTTTAAATTGTGTACTTAGCTGTGACCATAAATTAAAGACATTTTTATAATGACACAAATATGTATATATAAAGACATAATACAGACAAATCTAGTAATCTGGGAGAAGCTACTTCATTAAAACAAGTGTAGATATTATATTTTCGTCATTTTAAACCATTTAAACTACACTCGATACAGAAGTGATATTTATATTATAGTCTCCTAAAATTCATGTCCAAACATTGTGCTAAAGAAACGTTTGTTAGTTAAAAAACTATTGACATTAAACAAATATACCTACGGTGCATTTTTGTTAGCTCTAGAGACATCCTATATACAAGGAAAAAGTTTCGAATTGGTCAAGATGGCTGTGCCGACGTCAACGTAGACGAAATGTTTCCGTTTCCGTTGTTTTTCCGGATTTGAAAAAATATTAAGCAGACATCAAGATTTATTTTGACAAGTGAATTCTGGGCCAAGGAAGACTTGATGTTACGAATCAGGAAAAATATTTTCCTTGAGTGTTTTCGCTAGAAAATTAAGGGGTACATAAATTTTATCGAAATATATACTTTAACAGAGCCGGATTTATTCAATAAAGTTCAACGAAATGTTTGCTATTTGTGTACTATTTCTTTTAACCGTTCTTAGATGTATCGTAGAGTGCATTTACTGGAAAAATGTAGAATATTTCAGTTAATTTGAGTTATTTAAAATCTGCATACAAGTTCTAAAAACTTTAAGCTAGTAAGTATTTTTAATCTCTAGTTACATTTATTATAATTTAGATCGAACTTGGAACAAATAAAATACAAAAATTTGTGATAGGATTTTTCTAATTTTTTTTGTGATGAGGACCTTAGTGACACTCCCTCTAAACACAGTTTGCACCGATACTAAACAATCAGGCGAGAGTGGTACTAAACATGTTCCTATTGCTCGAGCTCATTTACAACCAAAAACAAAAAGGGAATATTAATAATAAATATCATATTTTTATTCTAATACAATAAATATAAATCTATGATTTGCCCCACAAATTTCAGAACATTGTCCAAAAAAATAATGCTAAACGATTAATAATAAATCTAATTTGATTTAAATGTCCTGGAATAGTATCAACTTTAATTCCTAAAGACGGAATTGTTCAAGAATGAATAACATCAGTGGTAGTATACGAATATCAGTAGAAATAAGCATTTTGTTTGTCTCATCGGCATTAACTACTTAAGCTATTGACCTCTTGTTCTATGTAGGCGTTGTTACTTTTTCCAGCGCTACTTTAGGACCAGTACTGGTAATTAGAACTGGAGTGGAGAATCCTACCTATGGAATAGAAATAATATATAATTGCTTTAATAAAATGAAAATCCCTTTCACCAGCAGAATTCGACCCGAGTCACTTCTATCTCAAAGTCAAGACTCTAACCACTGAGCCAGCACACCCCCCTAAGTATTATTTTCTACAGAGATAAATCGTCGCAATAGGCGTGGCTTGGAGTCGTAACAATATGAGTACCTCACCAGGTCTGACTCTGAATGCAATGCAATGCAACTCAATGCGATGCGATGCGATGCGATGCGATGCGATGCGATGCGATGCGATGCGATGCGATGCGATGCGATGCGATGCGATGCGATGCGATGCGATGCGATGCGATGCGATGCGATGCGATGCGATGCGATGCGATGCGATGCGATGCGATGCGATGCGATGCGATGCGATGCGATGCGATGCGATGCGATGCGATGCGATGCGATGCGATGCGATGCGATGCGATGCGATGTACTATTTTAGTATTGTGTTGAGTTTCTACAATATTTTG